CCACGACATTGACAAACATGATGTTAGTGATCACCTCAAAGAAAAGCATATCCCTAGGAAATGTCTAACTTGCTTAATTTACCTATTCAAGGCAGAAGAAACTCCAGCTCACAGGGTAGACATCACTCAATCCTGATTCCTTCTTTCATGAGAAAAGACAGTTTCCAGATCATGATGAGCATAAAGCCAATGGGGTAAACTTCTGTGAAGCACCCAAAAGCAGCAACTTTTCCATGACCTTTTTTCTCCTTACAATGAGCCCGAAGACCACCCCCAGAGGCTTCAAGCAGACTCCCAGCTTCAGTCTGACTTTGGGAAAAGGTTGTGCAGGCTGAGGAAGAGATAAAGGCAGAAGACAGCATAGATCGTCTGCTTCACCCCATTAAGTGGCTGGCTTCCTTCAACAATTAGCCCCCTCGCGCTGGCTCATTCAGGGACTGTCTTCTACATCTGCCCGGAACCAGGTACTTTATGCAGGTTAAGCCTTCCAGGCCTCGTCATTAAATCTGGCTCTGGGCACCCAAGGTGATCTTCATGTGGATTTTGGCCAAACTCAGGAAGCCCGTCACACAGCTTTTCAACAGCCCTCCTCCATTTAAAGCCAGGAGGCCCATCCATCCTCTCTGAGACAAGCTCAATTTCTAAGCCTCATTAGTTAAGGGGAAGCCTCAACCTTAAGGCAACAATCGTCTCACCAGCTTCACCACTCTTGTACTGCATACCACAAAAACAAGCATATATGGTACCCAGCTTCTACCCAGATGCCTCCTGGGCCAGAGGTCTTCTCTGATTTTCATCTGGTCCTCTTGGGAGAGGATTTGCACATTCACCACTTTCAACATTCCTGCTTATCTTCCCTGTACAGGAATAATATCTGCAGATGTCCAACTTCATCAGTCTAAGTTTCTGCAGAACCCTTCCGCTTCTCCCAGTCTAAGTACTACCAAAACATTTCTTATCTCTATACCATAGACACAGAAAGGAGATGGCCTGCTGGTACCATTATAAATTGTTTTCATTACGTTACTCCCAGCTCTGCTGGGTGTGACAAATATGCCCAGTTATCTGCAAACATCTACCGCTATCTTAACTGACGTCTTGCCAGAGCCTATTTCTCCTTTTCACATCTTAACTCCAAATTTACTTGTGTGACAGCTTCAGAGAAGGCCTGATGACCTCACAAACAGGCTGTCATAGGATGTAAGAAATTGGAGGCATTAGAAGAGGGACTCAACTCTCTCTCCACTTCTGTTTAAAATCATGAACTACTAGCAGTCTTCTAGCCTGTTATATTCCCTTAAAATTCAGATAACTTAAGATATCCTTGGATAGTTCCTTTGCTGACAGGTTTTCTCATGCAAGGGCTGGGATGGATTGAAGGAACTTGATTCAGTTGCATAAATATAGCTATTTAGTGGCATTTGAGAGGTCATAAGGGTATCCCAGAAATCTCTGGAAGTAGCAGAATATGACACAGGACTTACGGGAGACCCATGCCCTTCTGGATTGGCAGGTGGAGCCATGCAAGATATCTGTGGGCATTTTTATGTCTGTCTTCAGCTAATTGAATTGATAGTGAAGTCACACTTGCCATGGACAGCACTGTTCAAGACAGATTTCAAAACCTGAAGTTCTGAAAGAGACAGTTTACTCTTTGGTCACCAGCCCTGTGATGACTAAGCTAGCGTTTGAACCACATGCTTCCATCATATGGAAGCCAGTCACCAGCTCTACCCGCACTTCTCTCTCCATCGCCCTTTGCCTTTTGCTAATTCTCTGGCCAAAGATGCACACCAAGAGCGTCCTATCTTCCTATTCCTTCTGGCTCCCCCAAGTCTAGGGCCCCTCCTGTAATAACTGGCAGGAGGTGGTTTCTCTCATAGGCTGAAGACCATAAGCCCAATAATTCCTTAGGGCAGAGGAAGGGTTTTACGGTGCCATTTTGATGCTAAAAGAAGAGTGAGGAGATCAGTCAGAACAAGCCACTGGATGGCTGCTTTAGCACCAACCCCACCCTGGCTGCAGAGGAGAGACTGGCTTGCCTTTCGTATTTATTTTCATGGTGTGATCACCCCTCTCATGAAAAGTACCTTCCATTTGCAGCAGATGAAGGTCATTATCATTACAAAGCACTCTCCTCTGGATTACTGCAGCTCCAGGATATGTGCCCGACTGTGGAAAATGACTGAGGAGGATTCTCACTCCATAGCCAGAAAACGTGTTAATTAAGGAGGCTTTCGTTATCAAGTTCTGAATATCCCTCAGACATGGAGGCTCATATTAATGTCTATGTCAGGCACAGTCCAAACTTCTTTCCACTGGTGGCTCAACCTGATGAATATTTGTAGGGAGCATCATTTTAAGCAAAACCTCCTTCAGTGACAGACACCTCCAGCATGGGTTTATGTGCTTACTAACCATCATTTTACAGCCCTGAACGCTGCACTTGCTCAAGACCTTTCCTGTGATGCTAACCACTCTAAAATGAGTATACTCTTCAGTCTTGCTTGAATATAATTCTCTGTAATGAGGAACACATCAGCAGATGTTTTAAAGAAACTGGAGGAGGAAGCCAGATGCTGCATCTGGAAGCAATGGCCTGCATGGGAGGCCAAGTAACACACCTGCTATGTTTGGAGGAGGAATGCCTGCTGGCAGATAACAGGGCTTGGACAGACCAAGGGGCAGACATCATCTGTGGCTCTGAGCACATCCCAAAGCATCACAGGAAGCTTGTCCTGGCAAGCAACTTTTTTCACATGATGAAATAGAGAGAGTGGTTAAGGATTTTATTAGTAGTAATAGCTTTATTACTCTTTTTATATAAAAACAAATGCCAAGTATACCAGTGAGGCACTTCCTATTAGTAAATAATCTTTTTATCAGTTTCATACCATTAACAATCCAAGATTGTACTGACACGAAGCACACTGGACAGAGTTACATCTTACGACTGTTCAGAAACTAAAGCTCAATATAGAAGTCAGCTGTGTGGCTGGTAAGTAGGTCATCTGTTGGGAACAGATGTGCTCTTTCATCTGCACTGCTTGCCGGTTGGCTTGTACCTATAATGCCCTAAATGTCCTACTCTGCCTATCTAAGGGAGAGTGTAGAGACACAAAGGGGCTAGGAATCCGTCACTGATTATTCTCCAAAGGTCTCCTTAACCGGGAACTCATTTCCTACCATTCTACCTTAAATAAGCCTGATGTGTTGGCTTCTTGTCCACACAGGGCTGATCTGTTCTTCCAGACTTGGAAAAGGGAAGAAGACAAGAGGATCTAGCTAATGGTAATTTGAAAATCATTTGGTTTTGCCTATGGTATTGGCTTCTAGATCTCTCCTTTTTTTTTTTTTTTTTTTTGAGGCTAAGACTCTTTGTTGAGTAGTTTAAATTTATCACAAAGTAGTTAGCACCAAGGATTAGTAGGAAGGTGCCTTTTATGTGTGTTCCTAAATATACAAAATTCAAAAGCCCACACAATATTTGTTTAAAAGAATAATAAACAAACATCTTGTTCAGCTGCAGTTTATAATGACATAATTTAGGATCTCAGAGCCAGACATACCTAGTTTCAACATAGAGATACATTTAAAACTAAGAAAGGTATGATTCCCTCAATTTTGAGGGACTCATTCTTAAGCCTTAATAGGCTCCACAAGTGTTAATTCTTGCATTTATATCTCCCTGCTGTTTAGGATACAAGAAAAATAAGAGAAAGTAAGTAAAAGTTGTTCAGGGAGACTCATTTACAGGCACCCAGCCCGGTGCAGTTACACCTTCTCTACAGAAAAATGAAGTCGAGCATGCAGTCAGCCCCTACAGGATCACTGCAAAGCCCTTCTCAACTAGCTGATGTGACAAAAAAGACCCACATTTGCCCTTTCCAAGCATCAGCGGATAAAGAATGGCTCTTAATGAATGCACAAAACCAGGAGCCTGTCATTTCTCCTTTAGCGCATGCAAGACTGTTCATTGTTTTGCACCCAGATTAAAGGTTTCTTACTTCACACATTCTGCAAACATTTTAACTAAAGCAGGCGAAAAGAGGGAAGTGTTTATTCCCACATACATTAATCTAAAGGGGATAAACAGAAATTACTGAAGCTTCTTAAAAAAACCCAAACAAACCAACCACAAACCCAAACCCATATTTGGGTAGAAAACTACAGCTACCTTCAAACACAAGGGCGATTTATGCAGAAATGCATCCAGCAAGCCACTCTTGCTGCCCTAAAGACATGTGTCTGGTAAACAGCAGGATGGACATGTGTAAACTAAAGTCAAATATCTGCTTATGTATCCTCTTTATCACAGTCTTACAATTGTTCAAATTTTACTGCATTTTAATTGCAGCACTGAAGGAAGTTAAGGAGCATTAGCAAAGCATAAATGGAACTTAATGTATTTATGAAAGTGTATAAATAAATTAGTATGCTTCAAACACTTACTGGACAGTGCTGGCTCTCTGAATTCTCTAACTAAAGGGAAATACAGCAAGTGCATGCCTACATTCATAAGCGCCCCTAAGTATATTACACATCAACACAAACAGCTTTTATATAACAAAGTGCAATGTGACAGCAGGATATGGCCATTTGTGACCAGCTCAAATACCCCGTTGCATTCTTATTTGTACAGAGGTTTCAGCTCTTAGACATAAGCCTCTGTTGTTTTCACTCTAACTGCAGATGTATAACCTAAAGCAGAATGGGAATATTTCATTTAAAAAGAAAAATAATTTTATGTCCAACTGGCAACAACTCTAAGTGACAACAAATGTGCAAGGCAGCCAGTATCGTTTTCAGCTCCACTGTTGTCACTTAGTCCTCCAGAAAGGAAAAAAAGTCAAGGGTCTAGCTATAGGACAAACTCTATACAAAATGAGTTTAAATGGGATGAGATCACTTCGTTCTCCCCTTTACTGGCTGGTGGCCTTACTGTCAGCAGAGGAGCTAGCTGAAAGACACAAAACACAGTTAACCACCAAAAGTTTTACCTCTACCTGCACCTGGACATCATCAGGCTTGTTTTCAGCAAAAGATTTCCTGGTCTGTCCTCGCCTGTGGCCAAACTTGCATTTGTTCCTCAGGACTTGCTCATCATCTTCAATGGGTCTCCGCACATACTTGAAACGATCTTTAAGGGCCCGTTTCCATAGCAACTGCACGGGGGGGGAAATATCTGTCATTACTAGTATCTTTCAAGAATTTGTCCCATTCCTAAAGCAGATCACTTTGTTTTATCTAGCTATATAAAAAAGTGTTTACCACTAAGCAGAAAAACACTCACAGGGTGGCATCAGCATGCTGGTGGCTTCAGGACTGAAGGAAACACAAGCACCTGTGGTATATGACTTTATGGCAACGAAACAGTGGAGCTACTGGCACTGCTGTGGTTCGTTAAGGACAACAGTAATTGAACCTAAGGGTTAGATTTAGCCTATATAACCAGGGCTGTCAGTGAAACCGCAGTTTGCTTCCCTTTTCTCAGCTCTACTTTTGGATGCTCCATTGGTGACATCAGGTCATGAAACTACACGCTGAATCAGATCAGCTCACTCATGCCACTAATGGGGCAAACTAAGGGGGCTTTTTTGAGTGGACTATTTTCTCCCTGCCTCTGACTGGTTGTGTAATTGTACGATTATCATATCTAACACAAGGGAGCAGGAAAGACACGGTGGGATGCTCCCCTTTGCAGGAAGCCTACAGTTAACAATGGATCAAGTATGTTATTAAACTGAACTCAAAACTGCTGAATCAGAAGGATCATTTAAGTAGGTCCTAGCATTTGTGAGACTCCTCAAGGCATGTAAATTGCAACTTAAAGGCAGTTCTGCATTGCAGGTGGATGCAGTCCCTGTTTAATGGAGCCACTCATCACTCCTTGACAGCCAAAATTCCTCACGCATCCTTATGGACAGATGGCTGTTTACCTGCATCCCTGGCTGGGCGTCCCATGGCAGGACCCAGTTGTGCTAACTACCAACACACAGGGAAGCAATACTAAGCCAAGGCTGCTAAACGTGTCTGCAGCAAACCCTGCAGTTATGCATATTGAAAATTTTTTGTCAGATGCTCAAAAGCAACTACTTGTTTCAGTTATTGAGAGTTTTCAACAGTCAGAGGGAACAAAAATTGGTCAGAAAAGTAACTGTAAAGGACAGGACGTGGCAAGAGAGATTCAAGTAGCTGTTACCGCATTTTCTAAAACCGACTCCAATACTATACTCAAGCTTGTAGTCACTGACATACTAAACCACAATATAAACAGAAGAATGATTACCCCAAATTTCTTACCAAAATGGTGTTCTTTATTAGTCAAGGTAATCTGATGTCAGATATAGAAAATCCTGTTTTGAAGTGTACTTAATAATTTTCAACTTCAAACACTTTCAATAATACCTAGAGAAGTAGCCAAGGTTACTCTGACCCTTTCTATTCTTTCCTGATTGATGATACATCCCTCTTGGCAGGAAAACGAACCATTGACCCAGCACAGAGTGACTTAGCGGTCAAAGTGAGGAGGGGATACCTCCCCAAATGACCACCGAAGACCACTCGAGACTCCCGCGCATGCAGAGAAGGCATTTGATGTGTCATGGTTATATAATCCTATGCATATGCATTAGATAGTCTGAATATGTACTAGGTAGGAGTAGTTTAATAAATTAGATGCAATTGTTACCGTATAAAAGAGACACTCCTGATGAGTCTGGTGTGCTTGGTTTGTGGAAAGTCCACCGAGCACCCAGGCCTGAATAAAAAGCAATCTCTCCTGAGCGTGTGAGATTGGTCTATTGCACACCAGGTAACGAATCCGCTTTTAGGACAACAATATGACTTTAAGGGTTCACTTTGGTGTAAACCATAATTCAGTAAAAGTAGACTAAGTAGTACAGTATCTTTCTTTGCAGCGAGTCTGATGTGCCTGCCTTTCTTATCCACGGGATACAGATGGGAGGGTCTCTTAAAAGATGGTGGTGGAAGCAGTGTGACCTTGCCTTTCTCCTGCTGAAAATACTGCTCTGACCTGCCTAGGGTACTAGCTGACTTACAGGTCCTCAATCCTGCAAGCAAGAGCTCCACGAATGGTGCAAAACAAGAGCAGAAGAGCTACAAGAATACAGCCCCTAGGGCGTCGACCTCAGCTCTTCTTGGGCAGACCTGGGCCAGCCAGGAGAGGCGTGCCCTTCCCGGGGCGACCATTTCTGCCACCCACCTACAGGATCTTGCAGAAGCGTCCTCTCACTGCCAGTCACACATGAACATCTGAGAACTGGAAAGAAAACAAACCCATCTGCATTTCTAGTATGTAAACTTCAGACTTCGGATTCTCCCAGAACATGAGTCACGTCATCACCAGCGTAAACATGACAATTTGAAATGGAGCACAACTGCTCACCCAGTCTTCTCACAAGGCATGTTTACAACCTCAATTTGAGTATTACACTCCAGCACTGTTTTCTAAAGCAGTAATGTGACCACATGCCCTGAAAATCCCATTTGGTATCTGCCTGAACCATTAAGGTTCCTAAATATGTTTACAATTCTGGCCCTATGCATTTACATTTTGATGCAAATATTCCCTTTTATGCCTAGCAAAATTTATTTGAAACATTGTTATTTAAAGGCTGTTAAGAAACAAGCAAACAAAAACGTTAGCTTAACGCTTCTCTGAAGTGTTCAACAGACATTAAAATATTTTAAAACATGATCATCCCAGAATATATTAGCAGCTGACAATTTAAATATCCCCTTAGTTGAGTTTTGCACAGTTTCTTTCTTTTGAAAACCTTTGTTTGGCTAGAAGACTTTTTCGCTTATTCTTCCACAAGAAAGAATATGCTGACACCTATACAGAGCTTTAAATATCCCTCAAAGTTCAAAACATTCAGCTGTTTCATCCTCCTGTCCTCAGATAAATTGAGAGTTTTAACTAAATCTATTTCTGTAATAGGATTCTCATAAGCTTAGCCAAGTCCCTTCTCACATATGTATTTCATGAATGAGACCGCAAGCATATACATTTGCGTGGTTTCCCTAGCGGGTAATGCAACTTCTAAAAAAACCAATTTTGTTACCATTTCTGAGCTGCTAACTTTATTTTCTATTAATTCTGCCGCCCCAACCTCCCCAAAAGCCCCAAACCCCGAACAACCCAAACCACCCCTGGAAGGTTTACAGTGCTTGCAAGGGAGCAGAAGGATTAGTCTGTGTCTATCTGACATAGGAGGGAAAGGATTACACGCAGATTAAAAGCAGTAATTTACTAGCGAATAATCATTTTGTGCGCAGTGGTTACATAAATCGGGCATGTCAGCGCTGGGATCCTGGGTTTCGCCAGCATCACGGCACTGCTCGGCAGCCCGGAGCTCGAGGGGGCCGCTTACGCAAAGCCCACTGGCAAGCGGTGCGGATGAGAGTGCCCTTTCCTTTCCTTTCCTTCTTCATGTATGGTTGTCTTGAAATCATACCGTTTTCAATTGCTGGCCGAAATGAAATGAAATCAGGGCAGTGACTCTTTCCAAATGGTTGGTTGTAACCCTTGTAAAAGGAATAAATACAAATAGAAGAGTATCTTGCGAGTGGTCAAGAAACAGTGTCATGCCAATTTTGACTGCTGCGACTGTGACGTCGGCTTTTTCTATACAACCTATTTGTCTGTAACTACTTACAAATGTTGCATTGGTTACATTATAGATCAGAAATCTAATAGTGCATTTCATAATTAAATTGAGATTAATTTTTTAAAATGTTGTATGTGTAACTTTAGAATAACATTGTTCTTTAAGTAGAGAAAAACATCATAGGAAAAAATCCTTAGGTAAACACCTTAAAGTACTTTTGTCCCAAAGCTAATCTCAGAACAGCCTGGGGAAAATAATTTCATTCCAAGTGCTCCACAGACCTCTTAAATGAGTTTTGCTTTTGGTATAATTTTTTTTTTTTTTACTATTATTTAGGATTTCAGATAATTCTTTCTTAATTCCTGCTTCTACAGTGACCTAGTATATAACCTTTTAAATTCATAGTATATAAGTAGCTTATTCATAACCTTATTTTTAAACTTATTCATTTAGGATCATTAGCATCATTCAGACTATATTCCATTAGATATCCTTTTCAAGGGCCAATGGCACAGAAGCATATTTTTCTCTACTGCAAAATTAAATAGGAAACCTTTTAACCAAGAAAATAGAATTATGGATAATCTACTAACAAATCTTGAAACACTAATCTTTAATGACCTCTCATTGCAACAGTATGAGATGGAAAATATTAGACTACATTTCTACATAATGCACACATTGTTTGAATTACTTGTTTAAAATAGTTTTGAGTTGTAAATAAAAAGTGTCCAGTATTTTGGGGAAAACAACAACCAAACAAAAGAAACAACATACCCCCCCCCCCCAAAAAAAACCCCCAAACCAACCAAACAAAACCCAAAAAAAAAAAAAAAAAAAAAAAAGGAATGTTCAAAGTTTTGCAAGTAAAATTTTTTCCTGTCATGAAAATACTGGTGTGCATTTAGGTGCTCTTAAGTTTGGTTTTTTGTTGTTGTTCCTCTATGTTTTCCAGCAGATCTTTCCCCTTTCCAACTTTCCAAGCTGTTTAATTTCCATGAAAATGTTGCGACAAAAGTGCTGACATTTCCAATTCATAGTTTCTCCAAGTTTTTCATTACATCAAGTTCTTCACATTCTGATTTTCTGTTCTTGGTTGGAAGAAAAAGCTAATTCTGGAATGTCAAGGTCTCCCACTGGATGAACTTTCCCTTTCCTCAGCCAGAATGCCCCACGGGCTGCCCCTGCCCACCCATGCCACGCACAAGCGTGCATACTTGCCGTGGAAGAACCCAGAACAGTTGTCACCGCATCCTTCCAGCGGCCAAGACACATCCATTTCTGGTGAAGGGCTCCAAACCGTAAGACTCACGAGTTAAAAATAAAATCACACCACTGACAGACCTTCTCAGGGCATCTCCTTAAGAACTTCCGCAGCCCCCAGCAGATTCTGTGGCTGCTCCTCCACCCCAAAGGATAAGCAATTGCTTTACTTTTAAGCATGAATTTAGAGTTTAACTGAATCTAGGAGCCAAGACATAGCACAGCAATAAATTAACATCATTAACGACACAGACAGATAGCTACAGAATACAGACAGGGATAGAGCACTTTGCGCAGCAGAAAGGAAGACACCGGCCGGCAGAGGTGAGCTCCAGCACGCCGGAGGGAACGCCAGACTTCGTACACCAAACTACATTCGGCCTTTTGTTTTTTGAAGTGCGTGCAACTATTTCTTTTTTCCTGTAACTTTGACAGGACATTAAAAGTCCAAATACTTGAAAGCATGTTTGTTGGTATTCTAAATAAACTCAGATAACTTTATTAATCTACCAGTCCTGGAAAACATTATTCTCAGAGGCCTGCCCAGCTCAACGGCCACGTTCTGCGTGTCCCTTTCTCCAGCCTTACAACACACCGAAAGGAGGGGGTTACCTATCAGACACAGACACCTGTGCACAGCTGCTCACCCGAGGCTCCCTTTGGAGTCCACAGAAAGAAACAAGAACTTCCATAGTGCTATTCCTCTCTTCCCAATGTAGACACCAAAACCACATTATATGAACTGCATCTCCAGAAGTTTACATACACGTTATTTAATTTTTGCTTAAAATACTTCTCTCGTTACAGTTTTCCTTTTCTACATTTAGCTATCAGTCGCCAAATAAAGAGCTTTCTGCTTTCCCTCTGAATTATTTTATTGATGATAGCCTTCTTAAATACTTTCAATGTACTATTCAAAAATTGCAGTAACAACTGTCTAATTATTATAGATAAACAAGTTTAAGGTACTCAAAACCTCTCAGTAAGTAATATTTTATGTCTTACAAGACCTGTGATTCAGTACTGTCATCAGGAACAGCAAGTAGCAATTCTTACAGTCCCATGCTAGCCTGAGCAATTTTAAAAGAAAGGCCTACAAAAACTTCACTTTTTTGAGCTGCTGAAGACACTTTTTCTGAGAAAAGATGAAAGAATGGTGGTTAGCCAATTTTTTGTTGTTGTTGTTGTTCATGTGTTTCTTAAAGGTGTATGAATTCAGTTTTATTGCAAGCCTAAGTAGCTGTGCATATGTTGTAGGGTTTGTTTTAAGCCCTTGCTGTTGTAACGCACAACTATCTTACATCAAGAAAAAAAGAAGTATTTATAGCCTCTATGATGGTGAGAGAACAACAGAATGTCTAACAGTAGGACCAATAAAAATAGTAATTCATTCTCACCCCCTCCTCCCACCTTAAGCATACAGACATACACCTTTAGTGCATTCCTGCCTCAAGCCCAGCAACAGAGAGGGGCTGGCTCAGAAGCATTAGACTAGCAATATTGCAAACTGTTAATTCCAGCTTCCTCGCTTGCTTACCGTGGTTTCTGCCAGATATGCTTTCTAGGAAGCATGAGAGAAATATCAAAAGATAAAGAGCAACAACTCTGAAGTCTCTGCCCCATCACGTAACTTCTGCCAGCGCCAATTCTGGGGTTGATCTGGGAAGCCATGAGCCATTTCCCAAAGAATGGAGTGGTAAGTAGTTTCACTCAGTCTATGGTCCTGCTGCAATTAAAGCCCTTTGAAAACCTAACTTAAGAATCTCTGTTTAAAAACAGTTTTTAAAAGTTAAAGGCTGTAAAAAGGTCTTCAGACCGGACCTGAATGTCATTCCAGCTCCCCTTCACAAAGGGAGCCAGATGAAGCCATAGCATTACCCAGGACCCCAGCTGGGGAGCCCCACTGAGGTATTCAGAGAGATATCCTGATTGAAAATAAGGGTGGACCGTTGCTATGTGATCCTTCTGCTCCCTCTCTCCTCTCTGAGATGCGTTTTTTTTCTTTAGTCCCTTCCCTTCTACAATGCCTGGGCTCAGGGGAGAACTAGAATAGCCACCCCTTAATCCTCATTTTTTTTTTTTTTTCTTCTTAGAATTATTTTGTTTTCTGCAGTAACTGCACACGAGATATATAAATATATACGTTTAAAGCTAACGATCCCCACTGAGTCTCACAAGCTTTTTACAAGATGCTATAAAAGTATCACATGGCAAAGCAATGATGTGAAGGCAAAAGGTGAACACTGTCCTCTGAGACCACAGATATGTATTCTGGGTCACAAGAGTGAAAGAATGTAGTTCAAATTTAAGTCACCTCCTTCCACTGCTTTCTGTTATGACCCCATTGAGATCACAACCAGTGTTTTTAAATAATGATTTTTTTTTAATTAGGCCTAGATTCCTGACATACTTAAACCAGTAGTATTACTGCATGCTAGATATCTCGCACACAAGTGATCACAGTGCCTTGCAAGAGCATCAGTCATATGTTAGTCCTCATACAGACAATTTTCTAAAGGCTTGGCTTCTTTGTTTTTAAACACAGAAATAAGTCACATTTACTTAAATTTATCATTTGGAAGAAATCAATGCAGAAAGAAACTGTACCCAGCAAGCAACCAAGGACTTCATGTACAGGTCTGCATGATCTCACAGTGGCTTTGAGGAATGGCTATAACGGGATTAATCTTTAATTAATATAATGAAATAAGAACGTGATTTGCCGAACATGTCAAAGTGAAGCTCACAGCTCTGAATAGAGCCAGTATATAAGAAATCGATATTGATTTCCTCTGAACTAAGTTATTTTCTTGCGATTGATTATGTGAAAAACAAACAAACAACCTGTATTTTCAAGACGGAGTACTCTTTACGATACTTACAAAGCCATTCCCATTTTCATCAAGGAATGGGTACGCCTGCAGCAGAGCATTGACAACAACGTTATATTGCTGACTGTTTGGATACCTGTGCAAACAAGATGGAGATGTAAAAGAAATACTTGGTATTCTAGACAGTATTAGACACTGTCTGGAGTCTATGCTGATACACATTAAACCGACTATTTCCAAGACTATTGATTCCCCTCCAAATAACAAAGGGAACAGCTTAAAGGTTGGCACAAAGTCTTCCTGTTGGCTTCAACGGTTTCAGGCCCTTAGCCTGCTCTATTTAAGCAAGCATATTAAGAGAATGGCTTTACATTCATTTGAAAATTTACTTCTGCAGCCAATTGGTAATGTCCCCAAATAAATTTAACAATGTTTACTCACAGTGATCCTTCTAGGTATTTTGTCATGTCTGCTTGTAAAAATTCGATAATCCTTATTCTCATACTGTGATCAGGGCATTTTCTTTCTGCCAATACACACTTGACATCGTAAGGGAAGTCTGGCAAAGCATAAGAACTTGTCCACTGCAACGTCTTATATCTTGCAAAAAATGATTTCAGATTTTTTCTGTAAAAGAAAAGATTGTGTCATCATGATCACATCCTTCTTCTGTGGGAATGCAAGCAAGAAGGAAAGAAAAAAATACAAGCAAAAATTCAACACAAAGGGAAGTTATTGCTATAGAAATTCGAGGCTTGCTCTCTTGGTTTCTACATAAAGAATACCCACAAAAGCTGCAATCAAAACATATGGGGTTAAAACCAGACGTCAGTTGTGAAATGTTTTAATCGGCGGACGCTAGAAGGTGGTCACTAACTGAAAGCAGAAGGCAGAGCGGAGGAAGTCACTGGGGACTTGCTACTGTTGCAAAATATCTTTATCTGTCATCATTTATAATGTGTTTCCTACCAGTTCTGCTAACTTACTCGTGAAAGCAAGCTGAACAGCTCAATTGAATAAAATACTATACAGGCCGTTAGTTAAGACTGCCCTCCCAAAGGGGCAAGCGGTGAAGGGATGAAGGCAGTTGTTGTCAGCACAATGGCTGGAAACAAAGCAAGCAGACGCAGCCCATCAGTACCCACAGCTCCAGTCCAAGACAGCCATCAGCACTATTTACAGATGTCACAGCCCAGCTGGGGTGAGCCTGAGGCAGGGTATCACCACAGCTAACTCAAGTGCTTCCCGCCTCCTGAGAGCCTGCCAAACCCTAATTCTGAAGGAACACAGGGAAAAGTAGAGATAAATTGACCTGGAAGTCAATCAATAGCCACCTAAAAGGTAGAGTGGTTCTGGCAGCCTTAGACAGCTTCCCAATCACAGCAGTCCAAACCCAATAAAGACATTTCAAATGAGAGGTGCCAAAGGCATCTAAAGAGTCCTGTTATGTATGTGGTATCACTGCAATTTATGTTTCCTTCTAAATTAAATTGTTTCCAAATTGCAGAGAGCAACTACCAGGCTTCTAAAAGAATTTTAAAAAAATAATGCTATCATTATAGATGACAAATGCAGATGCTTACATGGTATAAATATACAGATATCTATATCTGAAGTAATTATCTGCACTCCCTTTATATTCACTGAGGAGACATAAGCACCAGTGAAGGATAACAGAACAACCAGAAGACCTCTAAATCAGACCTCATATTCTCTCTCATCTAGCGCTCTCTGTTATTTATGAAGAAAATTAAGATAGTTACCACAGTTGTTGAAATCTATACTATATGTCTCAAGTTAGGAACCCCACATTTGGCAGGTGAAAGCTCCGACACAAAGACACATGGCTGGACTCGGCATGCTCTGGTGTCCCTTCCAAGCTGCACTAGCTTTTGAGTCTATGAAAGTTATGGAGGGAAACACCACTAGACTTCAGTCCAGTCAACATACACAAGTTTTCACTCCTAAAGGTCTCTATGGTAGCCTATAAACAAGAGCTAGGTATATAAATAAGAGTTGTGAAGAGTTTTAGCAAGGTCTTCATTGGCAGGTTTTGCTATCCAGCCTCTTTCAGATAAGGATGTGAAACAACCCCCATGGTAACCGGTATCTTTAGGCTGGCAAAAATCAACTGCAATACCAATGGATGAGCATTTGCAATAGCTTACTTTATACCACTTTGAAAGATTACTATATATCTGGGAGGCAGATTATTTTGGGCCCCTATAGCATTAGTTATAGCCTCAATACCTTCTTGAGCAGGTTAGCTTATAACTCTCATAACCTTGTTGACCTGGTTATGCTGCCATACCATCTTGGCATCTTTTAACGTAGGCTGGTAGCTTGCAGGCTAGTAAAAGCTCTACAGCCATGATATAACTTTACCAACCCCAGCACTACTGCAAATTGTGATGCAGTGCTGAAAAAAAAATTAGTATTTTGGTTACTGTCATATGGTTCTCATAGATATATTAACAGTAGTAGCAATACTCACAGCACTACTGTTGCCCTGTGCAAAATGGGTACAAAATGGCCAGGGCTGCCGTCTCTCCAACCTCACCAGATTTTATGGGACACAGATGGTTAACAGTAGATGCAAACTGTAGTAAACTTCTGTTAATACTTTACAATCTCAAAAGAAGGAAAAGCTGTGTGAAAGGTGACAAACATATCCACACAGACACACTCATGTCCTTATTTGGTGATAAATTAATACACAAATGGGAAAACAAATCCCAACCCAGATTCTGAAATCACCTGGAAATCCCTCCTATACAAATAAAGTGCAGAAGTTCAATGTAGCATCAATGAGGAGCCCAGAAGTTTGAATCCTGTACTTCTACTGACTTTACTGATGAATGTCATGTAGCAGACAGGCTGCAAGTTACTACATAGTATTTTCAACATTCTATCATTTAAGTTAGCTCAAAAATGTACAGAAGTTTAAAAGGTGCAGTAATTTGTAACTGAGCAGCACTGATACTCTTGTTGCTAATACCAGTTACGCGGAATTGCCATTTTGAAAAGTGGAATAGTTTAGCAGGTTCAGTTCATGCAAATGGAACTGTACTCATTTCCTGGAAGAAAATAGTATTTTCTTGCAGTTGGGATAGCCAATAGCCATGAAGGCATGGTAACTCTCCCCTCCACCAGTCCCTTCACATTTGCCAGTACAGCAAAAATACTCCAAATTCCATTTCTCTTCAGCCTTACCCAGCACAGAAAACACTTCCTTGCTGTCCAAACAAGATCCAAAAATTCTTTTAGTCTCCATGGTGCAATAGATTAAATATTTTACTAGCTTTTGCTGAAATCATTGCTGTTAGGCAGTCATGTTTAATATATGCAGTAATATTTTACGATGAAATGCAGGTTTGTTTGAAAAAAGACACAACTCCACACTAAACTTTATACCCAGAAAGGCTCACATGCAAACTTGTTTAACTAAAAGAACAGTTCAGTTAAGCTGTATGTGCACTAGGATTTATGCATATAGCCAAGACCTTCCTTGACTATGGAGAACAGCATTACAGTTATTTAGGTACTGCCGTGGTTTAAACCCAGCCAGCAACTAAGCACAATATACACGCAAATATAGCCTGTTTCTAACCATCCCTCTCTGGTCTTCTAGCTAACCTGAGCCACAGAGACAAGATCAAGATCCCAGTCTCTCTCAGTTCTTTAGGCATTTGATGCTGCAGCTAAATCAATCCAATGGCTAGCTGCTGCCAAATGTCAGTCTCCCTCTCCCCCTTGCTGTCACATGTCTCTACCCCTTTCTTACTGGTACTGGGAAGCCTCTAACCCTGCAGCAAGTTACTTCAAGGAGCTACAGTAATGAAATTTTTCATTTTTCTCCTTGGTTTAGTTTTCTCACTGTTCAGGTCCCCAGAATGGCTCCCCATGAGGTGAGACAAATACCAGTGCAGATGAAGCAAGCTTGTCTCTTTATGTTTAGCTGCAATATGGAACTGAATCCCAAGAAGCATCTCCTCAGCAAGAACACAACTAATCACAGAGCTTTTGACCACTCTGCTTTTGTAGATGACCACATTATGTACTGTACTAAGCCATAGCATTGTTTCACACAGCTATTTCTTTGGCTCCATTACAGCCTTACACTGCTCACGTACAGCATGTTTACTGAGAAACTTAACTATAAAATAACACCATTTTTGGAGGAGCCATTTGTCTCCTTCAGCTGGCAAAAAACAACCAACCAACCAACAAAAAACCAAAAAACCCCCAACCCTCCAAAGCCCCACCTATCTAAATTATATAACCCCTGGGATCCCTAATCCCAGGGAACATCTTGTTTTACTGCCAAACAGACAAAGATTTTACACGCTTGCAGCATTTTAGACTGCACTAGAGCAAAGAGTGGTGAGTGAACGCAGCATCACGGTCTCCAAGCTCAGTGTCCTGTGCAACCTCACACAGAGACAGAGCTGACTGAATTAGCTGTAACAAGGCAGTGAAAACGATCTTGACACCAGTACAGACAGCTCAGTCAAGATAGCTGTGCAAAGTGCAGTAGATACCTAGAAACAGGTTCAAACACTAGATCATATGATTCTGTCATTTTTAAGCTTCTGAGCGTAGTGGTAAGAAGGATCAGTTTCCTGCATCTGCTTAGTTCATTTAGGAAAAAAAAGTGACTTAAAGGCCAACTGAGCACACGCATAAACAAGCTGTGCGCCAAATGCTTTTCTTATTGTCTACTTTGCTAAAGTCAATGAGTCTGTGGTACTCACTGCTACCTCTTGCACCAGCTCAGGTCCCAGTAACTCAGGACATCTCAGTTGGGCAGAACCTTGCTGACATCAACGGGTCTCCAGGTTCAGCATGTCCAGACAGAACCCAGCCCATGGGTGGAGCCTCAACAGATTCCCATTTTTCACAGGTGAAGGTCTAGCCTTTCACATGTCTGCACCAAACATCAGTAAGAGACTCCTGCCTGGAGACTTGTAGGCTGGAAGAAAGTCCACATCTACAAAGCCAAGGAAGAAAAAGAAGAGAAAAGAAAACCTGGAACTTGCAGATGTGAAGGAAGGAAAAGTCTGCAGCTGTAGAAAATGTTCCTCTTCCCTAACACACACATAATACGCTTTCAACTGTATGACAATAGTTAATGTTGTAAAGGTTGTTTCGATCAAAAGAAAGAAATGGTGACAGGTGATTAAATATCAAAAGAAACTCTTTTTGCCCTTTCAATAATAGGATAAAATAGGGCTCTCTTTTCTATTCACAGTTCCAAGATCTGTGCCTGAAGGATTCTCATGCTTTTCCCTTCATGTGCTTCACTGCCATTTCTACTTTCCAGCACAAATGAACAGTTTCCCAGTTATTCCCTAGAGCCTGGGATTTGCAGTCTACCTAGTGCTTGATGATGTCTTTCACTTTTTAGTTCCCGCTAAACGTAGGGGCTGGTATCCTTAGACCGAACAAGAACCTACCCGCAGCAGCATTAGGGTCAGCAAGTTACAGACAAAATTAATCATCTTTAAAAAAATTTGTGAGATGCAGACACAACCTTATTCTAGAGGGAGTCAAGATTTTTTGACAGTTTCCATTCTGAGGAGCTGTGTCATGTAAGTGAAGGCTCTGCACTTCGATCACATGTGAGG